AAAAAAAAAAAAGAAAGAATATTGGATTTGGATTTATAAAATCGAAAGAAAAAAAAAAAATTTATTGGTTTTTCTGATTTTTTTTTTCTTCTCAACAAATTTTACTTATGAAATTATTTTGTGGTTTTAAACTTTCGTAGTCCTTTTAACATTTCAACTTTCGTTGATTGGTATTTGTGGATATAGTGCAAAGAAGTTGGTAAATTGTCAAATGCTGCCGCTATTGCTGCATTTGGTGCTGCTTTAGATGCAAAAAAAAAAATGATTGAGAATGTGGAGAAGGGGTTAAGGAATGGGAAAAGAGGGGAGGCGAGTGATGCTGTTGGCGTTGTTGGTAGTGCTGGTGATGTTGGTGGTGGTGATGGTGGTGGTGATGTTGGTGGTGGTGATGGTGGTGGTGGTAGTGCTGTTTTAATGGAAATTTTATTTCTGATTTAATCGTACATCGTGAATGAACTCTCATTAATAACCTTATATTTGATGACGTGAATATGTTTTAACTTCATCAGAAATATAACTAACACTTGACAGAACTTTAGTGAAGGCTAAGAGGGCAGGAAGAAGATGTTGTGGTGGTGGTGGTGGTGGTGATGGTGGTGGATAAGTTAAAGAGTTGTAGAGGATTAAAAGAAAAAGGGCAAAAAACGATAAATAAAAAAGGGAATAGCGATGGAAATGTTTTGCAAATTTTTTTTTGATTTTTTCTTCTTGACAATGCTGTAAACTGAGTTGTACAGATGGCAACAGTAGTTGTATAAATTTTTTTGCAACCACAGTGCTATTGTTGCTATTCCTGTTGTTTTATATATATTGAGCAGATTTCCGATATTGGTTTGGTTTTGTTACGGTGAGGGGTATCGATGAAGAAAATTATTGTTATGAAAAAATAAAAAAAATTATGAAACTGAATGAAATTTTTTGCAGTTTTTTTTATAAAATTTGAATAACAGTTTGGTAGTGAGGGGAAAAAAAATCTGTCATTATCATTGTTAAAATTGGTGGTGATTCATCTTTTTTGTTTTTCATATTTCAATATGCGTTTTAAAGATTGGTTTCGCTTTCAAATGTTTCATTAAAATTGTTGTTGTTGTTTATTTTTATTCTGATTTTTTCACGTTTTTTTTTCTTTCAGACAAATCATTTATGACTTTTTTTTTCTCAAAATAAAGAGAAAAAGTTTAAATAAATAAAGTGAATTTGTTTCTTTTTTTTTCTTTAGTTGTTTTGGAAGTTTGTTACAAACAGATGAGGTTAAACATATTTTGCTCATTATACTCCCTCAACAAACTTTAACTGCGCGATGGTGAATGTGTTTTTGAAACGTTGTTGGTGTTTATTCATCATTGTTTAGCTTATTTCAGCTTTATTTTTACTTGTCCAGTTATTGACGGTTTTTCCTCTCC